TTCCCGAGCATCCTCAAAGCCTCTTTTCACATCCGGAAAGGTTCGGCCAAGATTTCGCTCGCAAACAGGCACGTGGCCCCGGGAAGCGTGTCCGTGCACCGTTTATGTCTCCCAGCGCAGGTAAAGAAGCTGCCGCCTCCTTCGCTGGAGCCCTGCTGCCCGGGGAAGCTGCTCCGTGCATCAGTGCATCAGCGCCGTCTCTTGTATTTCCCCGTCAGGGTGACAGAAAGCCACTAAAGCGCGGTGAATCCATTTGGAAGGGAGCGCCTTGGGGCGATGGCATCCCTTCAGCTCAGGAAGGCAATCGGAGCGGGCTCCTAAACAGGGAAAACTCTTCGGAGCAGCATTTCTGCTGACAGAGGGGGGCCGGGAGGTGCAGGGGGTGAGGGATGGAGCCGCAGCGGGATGGTGCAGGAGGGAAGCTGTACACGGAGCTTTTTCCCCATGAGCAAATACTATTAATCTAGGCTAATCTAGGAAAACAACAAAAAAACCCAACAGAGGGATCTCTCACCTTCACCACCACCACCAGCACGACCTGGCACCAGCATCCGCACACGCCGAGGGCGAGAGCAGAACCTCAAGTGCTCGAGGCCGGGCCAAGGCTCCCGTTTCTTCCCACGCTTGGCACCAGAAGCCTGCCCTTGCTGTAATTAGCCATCAGATATTTCACACCGCCTCATCAGGGACAGCCACAGCGAGCCCCCAGCAGCAGGTTGTGGGTGGGCACCCAAGCGCACCGAGAAATGAAGGTGTACTCCCAGCACGAGGCATCACCAGCTCCCGGGGCTCGGTGACACCTCGGAAGGAGCGGCGGACGACCGGCCTGGCGTGGCAGCCGGCAGGAGATGCCCAGGACCCGTCCGTCAGTCCCGGCGACGCTCGCTCGTTAGCGGTCATTACCCGCTAACACAAGGCGCTCCCTCTCATTCACCTTCGGTTCAACCCAAGGCAACCTACTCGGCAAGTCGCTTCGAGATACAAATCCAACAAGAGGAGCTCTTAAAATATTTAATGTCCTAAAGATTCAAGCCGGCGAGCGCCAGGATGTCTTTCAACATTTGCACTTCCCCATTGCCAAACTCCACCTTGTTTAATAGGCTGGAACGCCGAGCGCTTGGCATTTCAATAGCTCCTGCCGGTTTGGGAAGAGATTAGTAAAGTAGAGAAGCAGCTCTTTAACATTCAGGAAGGGCAACGCATGCACGGGAGTTATCAGTCACTCCAGGCAGATGGCAAATGTATCTCCTTTCACCACAAACTGAGCAGCAAACATTCAAATTCATCACCAAGACAACATATTTAAATCCACTTCTATTTTCAATTCATACGTTTTTAACAAACTGCTAAGTAATGAAAATCAATATTTTCACCCAAGCAGCCGGGAGACGGTCCTGAAGCTCCGCCCGGCTGCGCAAGATTTGCTCGGTGCATTTCGGTCACGCAAAAATTATTCGTGACGAAGTCAAACGTGGCATCCTGGGTGCAGGTCACGTTTGCAGCCAAGGAGACACCGACTTTCCATCGCCCGGCCCCGATTTAACGGCACTTCCGCATCAAGGGGGGAAGTGTCGCTTCAGGCACGGAGTGGCTAAGGCAGAGGTGACCTCGATCCCAATTTTTTGGGGGGAATTTTGATAGGACTTGCACATTTTTAGCTCAAAACCAGACTTGAGACCGGTGCATTGCTTGCGCATGACAAGCAACCTCAGCCGCGGGACGTGTCGTCTTTGTTAGGGTAGGTAATTTTTAGGGACCAGTCAGTTAAAATTGTTATTTAATAAAAATCACAGAAGTTCAAAACGAGCAGAAATAACTTGTACCAGTACCGTACGGCGTGACCTTTACCTGAGCAGACAGAGAACGCACATCTGTGGTCCTTACCTCAAATCAGCAAACTCTTTAACTGTTGGGAAAAGAAAGAAAAAAGAACATTTTATACCTTGCTTAGAATAAAAACCTTCCAGGATTCCCTACAAGGAGACATCTCAAGCCCACCAAGACGATTCTTCCTCAGAGCTCATCTGCCACCACACACAGGGCAGAAGGTACCGACCGAAATAATGAAGACGCCCCATGTTTGTCTTAAGATAAAAAAAAATTTATTTTACAGTCTTATAAAGCAGCTTTACATTAAGCACAAACGTTGATCCATTTACTTTGTATATAAACATAGTAGAACCTTTCCCTCTGCAAAAAGTCATGTCTCGCTGGATATAAAACTAACATGTGCACATTGTGCTTAAACTGCAAAGTCTGTACAGCTTTACAAAGGACTACCCTTTCCAAGAGCATCCTGTAAACAATTTATTGCATATTTAACACATGGTGTACGTCCCACATGTAAAAAAAAAAAAAAAAAAAAAAAAAGTAGAAAAAATAAAGTACAATTACAAGGTGAATGAAAATAGCAGCTTTCAGTGAATGTCTTGCACAATGGCCGAGAAAAACCGGCACTGCCACGCTTGTACAGTTGTGCTTGTGTCACTGGTTTGCATATACCCACGCGCGCTGTGTTTCGATGAAGTCTATGTACAGTAGGCCTCATGGAAAGGCCGAACAGATCTTAGTCCCTAAGACCTTTGTCAGTTAGAAGACCGAAAGCAAACAAATGAAACCCAACTTAAGTGAATTTGATGAAGTTACGGGCACCAATGTCCAACGATCCTCTTCTACTGCACGATTCAATTAAAAAAAATAACAGGAGAAACCCCCACGCTAAACTCTCCCGGGTTCTACAACCTCGGATGGTGGTTGGTTTAATTTCCACGTGTGCTAAGGCCAACGGAAACGCGATGGGAGATGTTAAGGACAAGGTGGTCTGACATGACCGGCAGCGTTGGCATGGCCAACCTGCGCTTCGGAGCTCACCCATCCAACGGCTGAAAGATCAGCGACACTGCGATTTTTAACTGAAAATTTTTCAATTTTCAATAATTTAAAAAAAAAAAAAAAAAAAGAGGAAATTGTGGCCTCCGTAAGGCACCGATACCATCTCTTCAGCAGTACCCAAAAAGTCTCTCCAGATTCTCCAAATCCAAAATGGGCAAAAGATGGAGGAAACACACAGGAAAAAGATGTTTCTGTGTCTGCAGTAAGGACCAGTCGTTTGTAAAGGAAGCACGTTTAACTGGGGTTTGTGTGTGCGCGCGCGCGTCTGTGTATACACGTGTACGTAAAAAAAATAAAATAATTCACCTCTGCTACCTTTGGTATTGAAATTTCTCCTGTGACATCCACTTTTCATATTAATCGATATGATCGTAGCATGCGTTTGCAAAGATCAAGTAATTACAAAGTTGTTTCAAATATCTGCGAGAAACAGAAAATGCATCAAAAAAACAGAGCAAAGAAAAAAAATTTAAAAAATCAAGATGCTTATTGTCCTTGTGCCCAGCTTTTTTGTGAGTTGAATGAACTCCGTCCTCAGTACGATCATCTTAAGCTTAACCCCCCACCTACACGTACAACATGGAACAGGGTCAGTGGAAAAACCCCAGAGCCAGCACGTCCTTCCCATGCCGGCACGCTCCCGGTGGGGACTCTGCAGCAGCCCCCAACAGAGCCGATGATAACCCCGTATTTCCTACGCTACCAAACCAACCACCCCTGATCTCATGATGCAATCGCCTGGTTTGACTCCTCTGGATCAACCAGGATGCTACACGCCGAGAAGGCAGGGTAACGGTGGGGGGAAAGGATGACCAAGAGGAAAACGAAACCGCCTGGTTTCCTCTGCATTACAACCGTGCAGTGAAAGCGTTTCGGGTTCGGGCGCGTGTGTTCGGTTATTGCACGAGTACCCTCGCTCGCTCGGCAGAGCCACGAAGACAAAGCACACCCAAGAAGCCAGTGCCGGAGATGTTAACGACCCCTTACGCGATGAGTAAGGAGACAGTAGGCAGAGGTGAAACTCGGTATTAAAGCACAGGTGGAGGTGGAAAGCCCTCTGGGGTAATTTTAATTTTTAAAATGCTTGATATACTCAAGCAGGTTAAAAATGAAAGTCACCATAGGAAAACCTTAATTAATTCCAATTGAATTTCCTGCACGCTACTCAAAATGAGCTCCACATCACACTCGGGAATTCAAGACAAGTCTCCCAAAGAATGAAGTTGCCAAAGCTTAGAGAAACCTCTCAGATGTAATTAAAAAAATACGGTATAAAACATCGGGCTCCACGACAAGAGATTCCAGCTTCCAGGGAGGAGGCGACGCCAGCAAACCTGACGGGCGATGGTAAATTTGGCTTTACAAAAAGGGGGTGGCGTGGCTGCAGGCTTTGCGCAGTCCGTGAGCCCCACCGAGTTGTGCTTACGTGACGTGACTCTGCAGCCTGCGCGCCGTCCGCGTGTTTTCCGTCCACGCGTCTGTAAAGAAACCATACAGCTCAAGGATCTCCATACAGAGAATTGAAAGGGGAGGGGGGGGGGGGGAGAGGGGGGTCTCTGAAATCCGTGTAAAAAGAAACACCTTTAAAAAGATACACTGTCCACTACCCAGGCTACAAGTAAATACACGTTTACGGCGTTACACCACGTGATCTGTTACGCTGTTCCAACATATACACATATAACTCCATTTTCAAAGAGGCCACAGACTAACTTTTCAGGCAAGTGCTGGACTTTAGAGACCTGTATGGCTTCTGCAAATACTTTCCTACAAAAAGGAAAAGAAAAAAAAAAAAACAAACCCAAACCCATCCCCAAACTCAGGAGCACAAAGGGGTTTTGCTTCGTGCAGACAGTTTCGCTGTGGAGCACTAAGGACAGGCGAAGTTCCCGAATCCTACCCATCAGACCCAAATATTTTCACACTGGAATGCAATGATTTCTGGAGATCAGTTTTAAGGATCACTTCTTTGAAACGGTCCGTAAGAAATTTCGGATGCAACCTTTGAAACCCTACCTCTGCCAGGCAGCAGGACCGGGGGAGTTTGGTTGTAAGCTCTAGTTGTGCTTTGCCCGGCCGCCTCGCAGGTAGCTCTTCCACCTCTTGACGAACTCTTTGAAGATGGGAGACTCATCTATGGTGCTGAGGAGCTGGAGCTGGTTGATGTGGGTGGTGTGATAGTCCCATCGCGCCAGGTTGGGAGCGGTGCCGAGCATGAAGTGCCGCAGGTCGTAGATGGTCCCTGAGCCGGTGTCGTAGAGGGGAAGCATGGCCTTCAGGGACTCCATGCCCCGCTCGTAGAGCACCCGCGCCTCCTTCCCCAGCTTCTCCCCGGCCGTTTCTTTCAAGTCATACAGCCCGATTAAGGAGTACATGAAACCGTTGAGCACGAAGGAGCTGGGCGAGGTCGGGTACTCCTCGTACCAGTCGTGCCGGTTCATGAAGACGGCTTTCACCCCGCGCTGCTCCGACGGCAGCTTGTACGGCGCCGTCGCCCGCAGAGCCGAGCTGAGGAACGCGTGGTCCTTCGTCAGCAGGTACGCCCGCACCAGCGTCGAGATGGCCTGTCCTTGCGCCATGGCCGAGTACCAGCCTGGGTCCAAGGACTTAAATCCTTCCCCCAGCTTCCTCGTCACCATGATGGGCCAGCCGCCCCTCTCGTCCTGGTTCCTCACCAGCCAGTTGCTGGCAGCAAAAAAGGCCGCCATGTGAGCGGTGGCTGAGATGGTGACATTATCGAGGAAGCCTCTTCCCTTTGCTACCAACCTCACCACTCTCTTGGGCATGATTTTGGTCTGCTTCACAGCTTTCGTGTTCGAGAGGCCAACGCCTTTCCGCAGGTCGGTCACCAGGTCCCTGGTGAGGGTGCTCCAGCTAGTCCTGGGACCAATGCCGTAGTAGATGTCTCGGTCCTTGAAAGCGATGAGCTGGGTGTTGGAGACGTAGTGCACGGTGAAGAGCTGGTTCTTCTCTGTCGTCTCGAGAACCACCGAAACGCTCCCGTTCGTTACGAACTTGAGATCAAAAGAAATAATAAAATCTCGGGTGTTCCCAAGCTGCAGAGATACTCCCTCAGTATTTTCTGCAAAACAAACAAACAAACAAACCCTTGTTCAGTGGTAAAGCACTCACTTCTCCAAAGCATTTAAGCTATGGAGCGCAGCTTCCAGAGGTAACCCCTCTTATCAGGCAGGATCCAAAAGCTTTTAGGGCAGCCCATCAATAATTCAACCATCCTTTCTGCGCGCTACCATATATTATTTAATTAAGCATAAAAGTAAATCCGTGAGTGAAGGCTGGCTCCCGCAGCACCGGGGAGAACTCGTTTGCATCCTACATGAACACGCTGCAGCACTTTGCTGCGGAGCTGGAGTGCCAGGGGCTTGATCGATGGCTTTATTGGATGCTCCTGGTACCTGATTGATCATGGAATCATAGCATCATAGAATCTTTAAGGTTGGAAAAGACCTCAAGGATCACCTAGTCCAACCGTCAACCCAACACCGCTGTGTCTACTAGACCATGTCCCAAAGTGCCACGTCTACACACTTTTTGAACACCTCCAGGGACGGTGACTCCACCACCTCTCTGGGGAGCCTGTTCCAATGCCTGACCCCTCTTTCGGTGAAGAAATTTTTCCTAATATCCAACCCAAACCTCCCCTGGAGCAATTTGAGGCCGTTTCCTCTTGTCCTATCACTTGTTGCTTGGGAGAAGAGACCAAGACCCACCTCACCACAACCTTCTTTCAGGTAGTTGTAGAGAGCAACTGTGATGGAGGGGTGCGAGGGACACCAGAGGACCTGGGGTAAGGGACAGGGCCACCAACGGGGAGGACTTCCTGCTGCCTAAGAACTGCCCTAAGAACGTAGATGCTGCGTGATTTTTCTCTTCTGTAACTCAAAACATAAACCAACAACCACCCTTTTCGTTCCAAACTGAAAATTTCACTCTGCAGAAAAGACACCAAAAAACGTGGCGTCACGTGAGCAGTTGCATTTCTGAATAAAGCTCCGCTTTCAGCAAAAATAAAGCTGGAAGTGCCGAGAAGCGGGTTATTTAGGATCCCCTCAGGACTAATATTTAAATCTGCGACTTTTTTCTTTCCCAACCTGACAGTTCCAACCACCAGTGTGCTGATTAGTTTAATGGGGGAAGAAAAAAAGAGAAAAGAATACAGAAAGACTAACGTGTTAAAGAATTTATTAACCTCTCCATTGGCAAAACTCAGTTAAATTAAAAAAATAAAAGAAACAAAGCTCCTAGGCAATACCACATAATGAAATTCAGCGTTCTCTTGCAGGCTAGATTTTAAAATGTAAAATCAACTCCTCCCCAAACCCCCACACTAGAGGATCAAAGGGCTAATTAGTTTGTAAGGCTGTATGCAAATCCTGTAGCTCTGAAGGCACAGAGGGATGAGAAACACTTAAAGACAGTCATCTTCAATTAACGGCTTTCCACAGAATAAAATTCTCGCGCGCGAGGCAATTGTTTCCTTCCCGCTCCTTCTCCACGTGTCAAACACCCCCAAAACCTTTTGACGTGCAGCCAACGAGTGACGGTTCCAGATTTCCCGCACAGCGCAGGCTCTTCCCCATCTCCCAAAGTAAACTACGGCATTTTGCAACCTCTTGGGTTGTAAGGTGCTATCGTACAGCGCCCAGTCTTTTGACCGAATGTCACATTTTCCAATCTTTTAAAGTAAAAGCTTCACTCCTTTGAGTTTTGGAGATCAGCATCTGCTTCGGGAGAAGAAAGCGAGCGCTTTGTTACTGTGAAAAATCTAATTAAAAAACCCCACTCGCAATTCCTGCCAAGTAAGTTTTATGGTTCCTTGTAAATAACTGCTTGTGCGATAACGAAGTGAATTATAATGGAGGGGGGGGAAAGAAAGAGTTTTAAGAAGCAAAGGAGAACTAAAGGCCGCCCGTTGCTTGCACTGCCTTAAGTGCCTATAAATCCATTACTTCAGGCCATCTAAGACGAGTGGATGCGTACCACGGCCTTCGAGCCCCGCAGATTACTCTGCCATCAATAAAGGATGAGGAGAGAATACATAGCAGATCTTTTAGCCTTTCCTCTCCCCGTATTTATCTACTACAAAGACACAAGAGTGTTCGACAATTTTTTCCCTACGGACCCAGGCCTAAGGTGCCAACTGAAAATTACTTCATTGTCTTTTTAAGTAATGGACTCATTAATTCTAATGGGTATTGATTGAGGAAAAATACATTACGTCCTTATTAATGAGCCTGTCCTAGCACAAAGGAAACTCTCGCATGAAATAATGAATTTCCCTGCTAAGTAAGAAACAGAACACGGTTAAATTGAGGCGACAGCAACGAAACGCATCTTGCGCTTCTGCGGGTGAAGGGGAGCCCGTACGCGTTCCCCCAGATCCTCACCGTCCCCCCCCTCCCCGAG